GCGTTGGGGGGGGGGGGGACCTTGTATGAACTGAGTATAATTATCTGACTTCCCACCTTACCCCCATTCCTGACACAAGGTGTGTTGTATGATGACCTAAGTGCTTTCTCCAATAAACTGCATCTTTCTTAAGGACTGTTGTTCAGCATGATTGACTTGGGACTCTGACAGGTGCGACCTCATTTGGAATACTGCGTACAGTCCGGGTTCCCATATTTCCAAAAGGACACTGCAGAGCTGGAAAAAAGTACAGAGGAGGGCAACCAAGATGATTATGGGGTTGGAGCACCTTCCCTAGGAGGAAAGGTTAAAGAGTTCTGGACTTTTCAGTTTAGAAAAAAGATGACTTTGGGGGGGGGGGGAGGGACATGATAGAGGTTTATAAAAATATGCATGGGGTAGAGAGAGTTGACAATTTTTTCTCCCTCTCTCAAAATACTAGAACTCGAGGGCACCCAATGAAGCTGATGGGCAGTAGGTTCAGGACGGACAAAAGGAAATACTACTTTACACAGAGAGTGATTATAATGTGGAATTTGCTGCCAGAGGATGTAGTGATGGCCACAGGAATAAACAGCTTTAAAGGGGATTAGATAAATTCATGGAGGCACTAATCCTCTGAATCCCAGAGCCAGGAGGCAACATCCTGGGAAGGTTTTGGCCTCTATGCCCTCTTGTTGGCTGTCCAGAGGAACTGGCTGGCCACTGTGTAAGACAGGTCTAAATGGACCATTGGTCTGATCCAGCAAGGCTCTTCTTATGTTCTTATGTAGACTGCAACATGCATCTAACGCATATAAGGTACATATGTAAGTTTACACCCACACAAACACAAGTGGATTATCATGGGTGTGTGTGACAGTGGAAGTACAGGGAATGGAACCCCCAATACCACAGAACAAGCTTCATATGTCCCCAAGGTGCGTGTCACAGTGTTTGGTGAAAATGCCATGACTTAAAAACCAGGCTGCAATAAGGCGGGACTTCCAGGATTCAGTTCTGGGGTTGGGTCCCATGCCCAGCTCTTTCCACCATGACGAGAAGGAGAATTAATCATGCAGATGATGCTAATGTGCCTAATTTCTACAGGTCATAAACTCTTCCTTTTCCTAGCATAGGATCTGGACTTCAACACAGGGGGAATGCCATCCTGGCTAAAAGGAATTAAGTCAATGAACTGTCCCCTGTCCAAATGGCATTTCTGCCACGAATTCACTAGGTAGTCTTAGACAAGCTGTACTTTCATAGCCTGAGGATGTTTTAAGTCCACTGGCACCTTTAAGACCAACTTTTGGTCTTAAAGGCGCCACTGGACTCAAACTTTGTTCTGCTGCATCAGACCAACATGGCTACACACCTAAATTTTTCTCAGCCTAAGTTACCACCGCTCCCATCTCCTACATGGGAACAACCCATACCAGTCCACCTTACAAGGGCATTGTAAGAATAACACTATCAAGAAATTGGAGGGCTCTGACTGCTGGAATCACTACATAAAATGCTGGGTATCATTATCACCCAGGATCACCCAAAGTGCCTACTGGTCCAAGTGCTTAAAATGTGAAATGCTGCTAAGGAATTAGAAACGTGGGGGACCCACTCCTCTCTCATTGGCCCCTCCCCCCATTGTCGCCCTGCTCCCCCACCCCCATTTACTCCTGCTGCTTCTCCTTGCTGCCCCCCTCCCCCACTTTCCCTTCACATGCCTTTCAGTCGTCACATTTTCAACATCTTCTTCCTTCTTTTTTTCTCTCCCCAATTCAGCCTCCCCATACATACTGGTTAGGCCCATAGAATATTAGGTGCCATTGTGGATTGTTAAATTATCCCAAAGTGCCATCAAGACATTGTTTTTTTCTGTGTCATAGAATCACAGAATCGTAGCATTGGAAGGGATCTCTAGGGTCATCTAGTCCAACCCCAACCCCAAAGAAGTAACCACACGTGGTGGTTTGAAGCCCTGAGAAGGGAGTAGACATGGTGGGCTGAAAGCCCTGAGAAAGGGGTAGATGTGGTGGGTTGAAAGCCCTGAGAAGTGGTTAGACATGGTGGCTCAAAGCCCTGAGATGGAAGTAGATGTGGTGGTTCAAAATCCCTGAGTCCACCCCTGACACCCAAACCCCAAAGTGTGCAATGACATATGTAGACATGGTGGCTCCAAGCCCTGAGTCCACCCCTCACACACAAACACAAACCAGTGTGCAACAACGTATGTTGACATGGTGGCTAGAAGCCCTGAGAAGGAAATGGATGTGCTGGGTGGCTTGAAAGCCCTGAGAATCACAGAATCATGGAGTTGGAAGGGATCTCCAGGGTCATCTAGTCCAACCCCCTGCACAATGCAGAAAATTCACAAATACCTCCCCCATACACACCTTCAGTGACCACTGTTCCACACCCAGAAGATAACAAAAAACCTCCAGGATCTTCAGCCAAACTGGCCTGCTTCCTGGCCCCAAAGTGGCGATCAGCATTTCCCTGGGCGTGTAAGAAAGGGCCACAAGAACTAAGCACTGATGCAACCCTTCCTGCCCTCCCACTCTGCCTAGTTCACAGAATCGGCATTGCTGTCAGAGCCATCTAGCCTCTGTTTGAAAACCTCCAAAGAAGGAGAGCCCACCACCTCCCGAGGAAGCCTGTTCCACTGAGGAACTGCTCTAACTGTCAGGAAGTTCTTCCTAATGTTTAGCCGAAAACTCTTCTGATTTAATTTCAACCTGTTGGTTCTGGTCCGACCTTCTGGGGCAATAGAAAACAGCTCCATACCATCCTCTATATGACAGCCCTTCAAGTACTTGAAGATGGTTATCATATCACCTCTCAGTCATCTCCTCTCCAGGCTAAACATACCCAGTTCCTTCAATCTTTCCTCATAGGACTTGGTTTCCAGACCCCCCACCATCTTCGTTGCCCTTTTCTGGACAAGTTTCAGCTTGTCTATATCCTTTTTAAATGGTGGTGCTCCAAACGGAACACAGTACTCTAGGTGAGGTCTCACCAGAGCAGAGTAAAGCGATACCATCACTTCGTGTGATCTGGATACTATACTTTTGTTGCTACAGCCCAAAATTGCATTCGCCTTTTTAGCTACCACATCACACTGTTGACTCATGTTTCAGTATATGGTCTACTAAGATCCCTAGATCCTTTTCGCACATACTACTGACAAGACAAGTCTCCCCCATCCTACATTTGATTTTTCCTACCTAAATGCAGAACTTTACATTTATCCCCACTGAAATTCATTTTATTTGTTTTAGCCCAGTTTTCCAGCCTGTCAAGATCATCCTGTATCCTGTATTTGCTACCCCTCCCAATTTAGTATCATCTGCAAATTTAATAATCATTCCCTGTATTCCTTCATCCAAATCATTTATAAAGATGTTGAACAAAACAGGTCCCAGGACAGATCCTCGAGGCACTCCACTTGCCACTCCTCTCCAAGAAGATAAGGAACCATTCACAAGCACTCTTTGGGTGCAATCTGTCAATCAGTTACAGATCCGCCTAACAGTCATAGGATCCAAACCACATTTTTCTAATTCGCCAACAAGAATATTATGTTGAACCTTATCAAAAACCTTACTGAAATCAATAAACCCATGCTGGCTCTCAGTTAGCACAGCCATCCTTTCTAAATGCTCAAGGACTGCCTGTTTGATGATTTGTTCTAAAACTTTCCCAGGTATAGATGTCAAGCTGAAGGGTTGGTAGGTTTCAGGGTTTTTAAAAACTTCATTTTTAAAGAAGATTTTGGATTTTCTGCCAAACTAGGGATTCCCTCAGGTTGGCAGAAACATTTCCCCTAGCCCTGGGCGACCCTATTGTGTGGATGTTTTTTTAATCTACACAGTGATACCATTATGGGAATTAGATGAAAGACAGCATTCTTGCCCTGTGAGGAGCAATCTACTATATAAAATGCTGGCACACAGGAGCAGTCTGCCAATCCAGAGCCAGAAAACAGGATCATGGCGCGCGCACGCGGGGGGCACTAAGGGAACAACATAGGTAGGTATTCACTTCCCCCTTTGCACTGTGGCCCTAGTTAGGTAAAGGTCTAATAATGTCTACGTAAACCGCTCAGAGCCCCCTGGGAAGGAGCGGTATATAAGTTGAATTAATTAATTAAATAGATAAATTCCAGGGATCATCCTGGAAGCTTGTCTAGCTACTGCTGGGAACAATATCACCCTTCCAGTTTTCATCAACAATCTTGCAGGTGTTCTTCTTAAAGGGTCCAGAGGGAGCCTTTTGGCTTGGAGGGAATCTGTTGTGGCTTCTGGCAATCCTGCCAGTGCATATAACCCTGCCAGGAAAGGAAGAGTGCATATAAATCTGCAGGTCTTCCACTTTCAAGTCCCCTCATCTGGCCCATCTCAAATGTCACCTGACTTAGGCAAGCTGCCTCAGTGCACAGTGAAGAAACTGCTTCCAAACACACCCAGTTTTCAAGTGAGCCCCCGTGTGTTGTACCACCACAAAAAGCCACTGTCACTTCTGCACGGTCTGACCTGTGGGATAAGGTTTCTGTCTGCTGTAGCCATTATGACATCACTGCTCTGCTCTGGGCTGAATGGAGTCCTGATTCAAGGACTCTCAGTGATTTAATCCCATGGAGCATAAATTGTTAGAGAAGCCCATTCATGCAACATCTCAAATAATAACCATTGCTATTTGGGACCCTCCCCCATGCCTTTCCCTCATGGGCCCTCCTTGGGCTTACCTGGGCCGTGTGTGCTTGCAATGCAGGGTCACTTTGAAGTTCCTCTCACTGAGGTCCACTTCGTTGTTGGGCTGCCGCAGCCCTGAGCCCTGGGTGCGCGGGATCCATTCAGCCGGTGGGTTGCCCCCATTTTCCAGTCCAACAGGCTGGCAGGTGATGGAGCTCCCATCTGTTCAATGGAAGCACACAAACCCGGGAATGTGAAGCATAGACAGACCAGGCGGATAGAAGGTAGGAAAGAAGAAGGGAGGATCTTGAGAGGGCCAGTGTGTTGTAATGGTTGGACTGCTGGAGTAGGATCTGGGAGACCCAGGTTCAAATCCCCACCGTGCCTTGGAAGCTTCCTGGGTGACCTTGGGTCAGTCACACACTGACAGCCGAAACTACCTCACAGTGTCGTTGAGAGGATAAAATGGAGGAGAGGAGAATAATGTAAGCCGCATGGGATCTCCAGTGTGGGGGGGAAGTGGGGCATGAGTGAAATAAATAAGCAAATGGGCCACTGGGATTCAAAACAGTGGGGGTAAAAGTAGACTTCCAAGGGGTCTGGACAGGCTCTGCTGCCTGAGTGGGGGCAGGGCGGCTCACTGGGGAGCAGACGGGCAGCATCTCCTCTTTCCTAGCCTGTTTTTCACCCTTGGCCCTACAGATTTTTAGCATGCTTCCGCCATACCATACAACAGGGGTGGGGGAGAGATAAGCATGCGTCACCAAGTACAGGATGGCATCTGTGGCCCCTCCATTGCAGAGCTATTCAGAATATACCAAGACAATTATGGAGAGCAACTCACGAATTCACCTTTGCGCAGGCCCAAAACTGGCTCCTTTTTATAGCAGAGATACATGTGACGGGTAAGGATCCTGCATCATTGACCATGGGTCAGGAGCTACTGCACAAAGAAACGGCCTGAGCAGCTTTTTGCAAACCAGCAGGGGGGGAAAAAGCTTGGCTTCGGACTAGACAGATGTGCACAGAGGTGCTTGGCTCCTGGAAAACGGAACTCCACCCTGCCCCAGAAGAATTACATCAGGAAGGTCAAATGTCTGCACAGCTCTGATAAACAGACAAAATGTCTATGCCTCCTTCTGTATACCAGGCCTGGCTGTCACTCATTGAATCTCCAGCCCGGGTTCTCTCTGGCCTTTCCTTCTTCATCTTCCTCCCCCCCCCTCTCCTTTCTGTCCATCTCATCATAGCCCTGCAGGGAGATCAGCCAAATGCTATCAGCTGTAGTCCTCCTGCTGCCTCAGTCAGTCCATGTACGTGTGTACTGGCATGCACTGATGTTTACTTGGTGTGCAAGTTAACTGTGTTCTACTGACTAAATGCTAGTATGATCTGTCTGAACATATTAACTTGTTTGCCTGGATGCAGGTGATTTTGTTGGTGTGCATTTGTGGGCCGAGCTACCAACAGAGCATAAGGCTTCTCGGTTTCACAACCGCACAGCAAAGTAGCCCAGAAACAGAAACAGGTAGCCCATAAACCGAAACCAATCTGCTGACAATTTGGGCTGCTGGAGACCCTGCCAAGTTCTAAGTTTAAGGCACAGTAAAAAATACATAAATTGACCAACAGGTTTTACTCATTAAAGAACATTAAATTGTTCAAGCTGGAAGAGCTTGAACTTCTGGCAGTCTTTCAAAACGTTTCTTTTTGGGTTCAGCGCACACAGGCCCAACCACGTCCAAGCATACACAGCCAGTGTAGTGTAGAGGTTCAAGTGTCAAACTAGCATCTGGGAAACCTAGGTTTTGAATCTCTGCTTTGCTGTGAAGTTCCATCACTTTTGGAAGCTTTCATGTGCTGCTGGCCAGCTGGCTGGTGGGGGAAACCCCACCCCCAAACAATGACGTCACTTCCAGGTGACATCATCATGCCGGGGATGTCACACTGTGCCACTCTGGTTTTTGGGCAAACTCTATGGTCTTGAAGGCAAAAAGCCATAGAGTTTTGCCCCAAAATGAGAATATTGCATGCGATGTCCTGCCCACCCCCGCTGAATCCCCTTGCCACGACGGCGAGGGGACCTGGCTACATACTCTCAGCCTAACCTCACTGCCACAGGAGGTGGTGGTGGCGGCTACAAGCATGGACAACTTCAAGAGGGAATTAGATAAACATATGGAGCAGAGATCCATCAGGGGCTATTAGCCACAAGGTATAGATAGGAACTCTGGGGCAAGTGATGCATTGTGTGCTGGGGGAGGGGGCAACAGTAGGGGAGTTTCTAGTGTCCTGGCCCCAATGATGAACCTCCTGATGGCACCTGGTATCTTTGGCCACTGTGTGACAGAGTGTTGGACTGGATGGGCCATTGGCCTGATTCAACATTGGCTTCTCTTATGTTCTTATGTACCTCTACAGTTGTTAGGATAAAATAGAGGAGAGGAAAACGATGTTTTAAGATGAAAATACGCCCCCCATCAAGGTGCCATTGGATCATGGGTCTTTTTTCCCTATCCAGTCTAATAGGCCCTGAGGGAAAGGGAGATTTACAGACAAACATCACAGAAGAAATAGTCTAAATCCAGGGTGTCAAACATGTGGCCTGTGGGGCAGAACTGACCCGTGCATGGCTCAGAACAGGCCCCCAAGCAACTTCCTTCTCCTGCTTCCTTTTCCAGGGCTGCTGTTGCAGCCACACCCTAGCTTGCTTTTCCCCCAGCTCCCTCAGTGGCTCTTTACTTCCTACTTCCTGCCTCTTGCCTCCCTCCCTCCTCACTTGCTCTCTCTCACATACACATACAGACACAGATAGAGAGACCTTTGTGGCTGCTTCGTGTTGGAGATACAAAAACAAGCCTCTCTCTCTCTCTCTCTCTTTCATACACACACACATCTGCCTCCTTTCCCGGGGGCTGCCCCCCCCGGGGGGGGGGGGGGGGAAGAGAGAGAAAAAACAAAATTGGAGTCCCATAGCAGCTTTAAGACCAACAATGTTTTAGTCCAGGTACAAGCTTTTTGTGTGCAAGCACACTTCTTGGGTGGGTGGGTGGATTCTTCTGACAAGCACAATGTATATTGAGGAACTTATTTTGGCTTTTTCTGAAATTTTCTTTTTTCAAAAAAAAAGATTGGATTTCTCTGTTCCTATCTGGATTTATTTTCTTTCAAAAATACCCTGATTAGGAATTAGAACACGTGGATTGGTCCTTATATCTTGGAGAGCGGAGTGATTTCAGATGCCAAATGATAATAGCACACATTGGTAATGAGACAGGAAAACTAGGTCTCAATTCAGTCCAGGAGGATGCATTGTCTTGAGCTTCATTATTAATTGCAATTCAGCAGTCTCTCTTTCTAATCTCCCTTTGAAATCCCTTTCTAAGAGCACTGCTACTCTTAGGTTAGCAACTGAATGCTGTGGTTTCTAATGTCAGACTTATGTCCATTTATTCTTTGCATCCTCCTGGATGGAATTGAGACCTAGGTTTCCTGTCTCATTACCAACACTGGTATCTCCACATCTACTATCCCTCTGCATATCACACCTAATACAATCAAGCCTGCTATTGTCATTCACCTGCTATTGCCATTTAACATCTGAAATCACCCTTATAAAGTTTGTATATCTGGTAGCTCAGCATGCATGGCCTGGCCCAACAAGCTGACATTTATCTGGCTCTCGTAACAAATGAGTTTGACACCCCTGGGCTAAATGTTCCTTCGTGACCCAATCCACAATTGTCTCCTTTTCCAGGCAACTGATGGTTTGAAAAACAACAACAAAAACCAGGAGATATGACTATGCACTGACCACATAATGAGTTGTTCGAGTGACACAATAAGAAATCAGAAAGGTCCCTCCCTGCCTCTGATTTCAACCCTGCCATGAACTCAGGAAGTATTTTAAAAGACTACTCCCTTGCCTTCAGCCTCCCCCTTGAAACAGTAGGAGAATTCTGGCCTACCTTCCAGGAAAAACTGTCCTGCCCCTGGAACAAAAATTTGCCTTCTTAAAGGCTATCAAAAGCTAACTGTGGAATGTGCTTTCTCTGCAGTTAACATCATCAAAACTGCAACCTCCCAGAGTCATTGAAAACAGAAAGATACCCTATTTAGGTTACTGGGTGTCGTCATAAGGCAAGCAACAAGAACTAGTTTTCCACAGTAGTTAGAGAGTTACATTAGGGCGTGGGAGAGGGAGAACCACATTTGAATCCAAACTCTGTTATGGAAGCCTGCCGGGTGTCCTCAGGCCAGTTACTCTCCTGCCTCATTGGGTTGTTCTAAGGATAAAATGGAAGAGGGGAGAATGTTGCAAGCCACTCTGGGTTCCCCCATGAGAAGAAAAGTGGACTACAGAGCCAGTATAGCGTACTTGTTAGAGTGTTCAACTAGAAACTGGGAAACGCAAGTTCGAATCCCCCATTCTGCCACAGACGTTTGCTGGGTGACCTTGAGCCAGTCACACACAGTTAGCCTAACCTACTAAATTGTGAGGATAAAATGAAGGAGAGAGTGCTGTAAGCTGCCTTGGGTCCCCATTGGTGAGAAAGGTGGGGTATAAATGAAGTGAATAAACAAGAAAATAAATCTCTAAACAAATAAGTAAACCTTGTTGAAACAGGTGAGGGACTGGTCAGTGCCCAGTGGGGAGCCCTCCTGGGAACCCCATGGGATTCCGGGAAGGAAGCAGAGATGGAAATAAGACATACGATCAGTCAATCGTGGTACATATTTGATTTTCAATCACAAGAGATCATGGCACTGATCTTGGGGAAGTTCTCTCTCCACCCTTTGAAATGTGCACCCGCCAGTGACACTTGACAGGAACTTTTTCCTAACCAATAAGCTGTGGTTATGGAGTCCTTTTTACACTTGACACTGGTTTTCCAATTTAATCCAGGAAGGAAGCCTGTCCTGGAATTTTAGCACATCTTGGTCATGCCTGCAGCCGCAGGGGTGGCAAACCAAAGCTTATTTAAAGGAAGAAAAACACAGATAAATGCAGAGAGAGAGAGAGAGAGAGAGAGAGAGAGAGAGAGAGAGAGAGAGCATCCTATTTGAAAAAAAGAATTAAAAAAACACAGAACAAACTCAGACACTATTTAAAAAAAAAAGAACCAGGAAGAAAGCACCATGCATCTCCTTGTTCTCTGTCATTTGGTCAAAAGTGACAGCTGGTTGCAAGAAGTTACAGGTTTTAGGTC